TTTCGCTATTAAACACTATTTTAGCAATTTAAATGACATTTCTTAACTAGTTAGCTGTGGCTCTTCCTTTTCAGAGCCCGCACCAGATACATATATCTTTTATTATTTACACTCGTCCATTCATCGATAGATATGCTGAATTTTTTGTTGTTTTTTGTTGTGTTCAATTACACAATTCTTTAACTTTCACTTTTAGTGATTTGATTAAATGAAAATCAATCAACGGCTGTCAATTTCGATGTTATTCCTGACAAAATTGATCGTGTAATAAATTTAAAAAATAAAAAATGTTCATACCACGCGCTCTCTATCCTTCCCTTATTCTACAACGTTTCAACTTTAACGTAAAAAAAACTGCACCGCTATATTTCATTTCTATCAATGTTTCTTTGATTTTGGCACAACTTTTTTATTTGTGCGACATAGTATGACGCCCTGGCGATGAAATAGACACCGACTAGTCCACGATCGTACCAGTGACGCTCCTAGTGATTAAATTGTCATCTATTGGTCAACGCATTTCCTTACCAACGGAAACTCAAACAGATCATTGGCCTCGGTCAAATGGTTTAGCCCTCGGCTCGTAATAGATCCATGAAATGAAGATACCATTGGAGAAGCCCGAGTCGACCCGAGAGGCCCGACCCGAGCCGAACCTATCCGCTCCAAAAGTGAACCCGGATATTCTTCTCAGATTCGATTTAACCGGTTCGGCTCGCAGCCGATCAGGTCCGAATGCGCCCTATCGCGTCCGGTTGTAGGATATTCGAAACGCGGACGGCCAAAGCGGCTTGAAAGATACGACTGGAGAGGCCCGGGTCGGCCCGAGCCGAGCCGAACCGCGTCGATTGAATTAAGCAGCCACACCTGTCGACTCCAGATATCTTCATCGACCGCATGCTAATTGCCAATTAACCGATCCCTGATTCCCCCTCCCCGGCTCGCCGACGCCACCGCCGTCATCCCCGCGCCGTAACCACGCACTCGCTTTGTTTTCCGTGAATGAACAACCGATACGCAACAAGCGCCGCGGATTAGTCGTCACGCAATCACTACAGTCCTGCGGACACGTTTATGTCTGCCGATTGGCTAATTGCGCGGCTGTGATCCACAATCGCTGCGAATATGGATTATTCCGTCGACCTAGGGTTGCTGTGCCGATTACTGTGGGGCTGACCAATTGCTTTCATTCATTTCTTTTTATCAATGCAATATATACATCTATAACTCGTCTTGTTTTAGTTTCGATGTAGTCTAGTACTAATCGACGATTAGCAATCAACAATAAGAAAGGTCCAACGGTTTCGTTCTTTCTTCCGATATCCCCTTGAATTAACCCCTTAACGTGTACGCTCGAGTTAATTCGAGCGCGCTAAACAGGCCAAACTGTGCACACTCGAGATAATTCGAGCGGCGTTGTATTTTATGCTGTTACAATTTTTCACACTCGGATATATAATCGAGAATTGCAAATAACAATGTGAAAGCAAAGAAATAAGATCGTTTTATTGATATTTATCATTTACATGAGATTGTAAGCTATAACACTTGTTTATTCAAGAACAAAACATAGCTTTTTTCCATGGAACAAAAGCGCGGTATATCAAAACTCTCCACCAAAAATTGATCTCTTTTTGCCGGATTTTTTCAAAAAAACTATGCGTTAAGGGGTTAAACAATTTAATATGTCTCATTTGATAAATACAAAGTTAATTATGCCCGAAACCATGCCGAAGACACAGCAATTGGTCACCGCACAGGCTTTACTAACTTAGATCCGCTTCGACAAGTATCAAGTTCTCCATAATATTGTGCAGATGCTACAAAGTTTCGTTTACGAGTAGACTCGGCAACGCTTTAATCGTCGAACATTTCCATGAACATTTCCATTCGCATAAAATGCACCGAATTACCGATGCATTCGGAGCAACACTCAAGCCCTCTGTTATTAACAATCTTCGAGCGGATTGGTTGCGGATCGGACTGGTTTTTCTAGACGTATTATCGAAAGTCGATATCAGTTTAAATAATCATGTTATTATCAAATAGAAGCTACAAGATAATCTTGAGTTTTTTTAAGCCGAGNTAATTCGAGCGCGCTAAACAGGCCAAACTGTGCACACTCGAGATAATTCGAGCGGCGTTGTATTTTATGCTGTTACAATTTTTCACACTCGGATATATAATCGAGAATTGCAAATAACAATGTGAAAGCAAAGAAATAAGATCGTTTTATTGATATTTATCATTTACATGAGATTGTAAGCTATAACACTTGTTTATTCAAGAACAAAACATAGCTTTTTTCCATGGAACAAAAGCGCGGTATATCAAAACTCTCCACCAAAAATTGATCTCTTTTTGCCGGATTTTTTCAAAAAAACTATGCGTTAAGGGGTTAAACAATTTAATATGTCTCATTTGATAAATACAAAGTTAATTATGCCCGAAACCATGCCGAAGACACAGCAATTGGTCACCGCACAGGCTTTACTAACTTAGATCCGCTTCGACAAGTATCAAGTTCTCCATAATATTGTGCAGATGCTACAAAGTTTCGTTTACGAGTAGACTCGGCAACGCTTTAATCGTCGAACATTTCCATGAACATTTCCATTCGCATAAAATGCACCGAATTACCGATGCATTCGGAGCAACACTCAAGCCCTCTGTTATTAACAATCTTCGAGCGGATTGGTTGCGGATCGGACTGGTTTTTCTAGACGTATTATCGAAAGTCGATATCAGTTTAAATAATCATGTTATTATCAAATAGAAGCTACAAGATAATCTTGAGTTTTTTTAAGCCGAGGTTTCCCGAGGAACACTTTCCTGAGGAACATTTTGAGATATCAGTTTAAATAATCATGTTATTATCAAATAGAAGCTTCAAAATAATCTTGAGTTTTTTTAAGCCGAGTTTTTTTTTCCACTTTCCTGAGGAACATTTTGAGATTTTTAATAAGATTTAGCCGGGAGAAGCGAGAGCGTTATTAGGTATGGCATGCATCTGTACCCTGGTAATGCCATCTATCTTCAAACTATGTTAGTGTTACGATTAGTCGCCAAGGATAGAGGGCGTGAAGATCGCGTGACGAAAGAGGAAGCTAGTCGCGAAGAGAATAGAAGACTGAGGGGGTTGTTGAATTGAGGGGTTGAACACGTGCGGATAAATGTTGAAGCATTAAATAAACAGAGCGTTAATAAACTTTTATCACATTTATTCAGCAAGCATTGCCATACCACATGGTTTGAATTATGGGAGTAGAGGCAACAGTTGCATAAAGTCAGGATTGTTGAGAAGTTTGATTTTACAAAGGGATTCGTTAAGGAAAAACATTGAGGCGAAGATCAGCTAACAGTAATTTCCCAGGTTAAATTTTGAAAATATGCTTTTATATGATAATTGTTATGCCAATTAATTCTCTTGATAATAAAAATATATTTTTATGAAAAAGAAAACGGATTGAAAATTCCGTATGCGTTGAAAAATTCCAATTCTCTTCGACATCACGTACACCACTGCGGTAAAAATTTCAAAAGGAAAACTTTATTATCGTCCGAGTTCTTTCAACTTCGGTGATAATTATTGTCACAAGATTGTATTCGTTAATTCCCATTTCTTACCCGTCATCCGAATAAAATTTAGCCGTACTCCGATAGCCATCGATCGAACGATCGAAGAACGATTAAATTTTCATACATCGGAGAGCTCTGTATTCAACGTATCGATTGTTGTACTATCGGAACGGTTTTTCGTGAAGGAAACGCGAGTTTGGCAATACAAAGGGGGGCGGTTTGCGACGTATGATTCCTCGATGCCGGTCGAATTACGGTTGGTTCCCGACTAGAAATGTCGGACTTTCCTCGCGGCCGAATAAATCTTTGGTAAGAACGCCATCGATTTCCCCGTGGCCGGGAACAACGACGACGTCCGCCGCCGCGCCATTGTAATTTCCGTAGCCATACGGCGGACTTACAGTTTCTGCTCGAGTACGATCGAAAACCGTATCGTACCGCGCCGACGTCGCCCATTTTGTTCCCCGTTGGGCGAGGGGCATTATTGCCGCAAGATTTTAAGAGGGCCGTTGAAATATTCAATTGTTACGGAAAAATGTTCAGCCGGCCAACAGAAACTATGTGCGGCATTCGTTTCCCTCGAAGCGAAAACAGGCTCGATTCGAGCTCGCAACTCGTGGGATCAGCGCCGGCCGCGACTGGCTAAATATCCTGACGACAATCCTTCTCTCCTCACCTCTCCGCTGCTCTCGTGCATTCTCTTCTGCTCATTGTCTTCCTCCCTCCGCGAGCGGCGCCCGCTCCTCCGCGAACGCCGAAATTAAATATCTCGCGCGGAGGACGGCGTGTTTTTAATAATCGTACATAAGCAGGGGGATGGTGGCTAATACTAGGCCTATTTTTCTTTTTAAATCCTAATTTTCCATTAAAAATACTTTCATCAAAAGTAGATTCGAGTTTGACGCATTTACCGACAAGCCTGTTTTGAAGAAATCTGTTCTAGATGCCAGCATTTCTTTCTCTTTATAATAAATAAATAATAATAAGTAAAAAATAATAAATAAGTCCTTGTTTTTGCTAGTAATGCATAGACTGCGGATTTTATGCGTTTAGGAGAAAAATGGACAGATCGAATACAAAACTGTAAAGAGATTAGAAAATTTCAAGGATGTTGTTACATTATCTTGAATTTGTTGCGGTTATTAAAAATGAAAATACACCTCCACCATACTCGCATTCTTTACAATTAATTAATGTTAAACACAAGTTAGTAATTATTGCCGAGAAAATTCCAGGGCCGAATGGAAATTAATTCGAGACGAGACGGTTTTGCGGTTGAGACGTCTCGATCTCGTATTTCACACCGTAAATATATTATTTGAAAAAAAACGCGATTTCTCGATTCCTAGTCGAATCGATGTTTCACCGTCGCGCGGCCACTCGAAAGACGCAGCCTTCTAACGCAAAGCTTTCTAACGCAGGAGGAGCGATCGGAGAACCGAACGGTGAGCATAGTGGAGTTCGAGCCCGGCGTGGAGGACCACGGGAAGTCGATCACCTGCAGGGCCGAGAACCCGAACGTGACGGGACTGTTCCTCGAGAAATCCTGGAGAATCGACGTCGTCTGTAAGTAGCCGATAAATATACAGGGTGTCCCGAAAATGTCTCGCAATCTGGAAATGGGAGGTTCCTGAAGTCATTTGAAGCAATTTTTTTCTTTGCGAAAATTTTCTCCGGGGCTTCGTTTACGAGTTATTAACGAAAAACAGTGACCGATAAGAGGCTGGCGCGCGGCGGCCCAGCCAACGAGTGCACGGAGCCGAGTTCCGCTCATTGGCTCGGCCGTCTCGCGCCAAATGATTTCTCCTCTGATTGGTCACTGTTTTTCGTTAATAACTCGTTAACGGTGCCTCGGAGAACATTTTCGTAAAGGAAGTAGTTGCTTCGAATGACCCGAGGAACCCGCCGCTTTCGGATTGCGAGACATTTTTGGGACACCCTGTATATTCTATCTTCTATCCGTCAGTGTTTCCGCGGCAAAATTCTAGCTCGGCTCGGCCCCGCCCCGCGAGCCCCGCTCGGCCTTTTACGAGCGGTACGTGACGTTAAATGCATATTCGATGATTCTAGCCGGGCTTGAAACTTATTCCTCGTTCCGGCTGCGATCGGTGCCTTAATGCATGCATACGCACCAGGGCAGACAGGCCGGGGCGCGAGTCGAGCCTCGTAAAACGAACGGAGGCCGGCGCGGGGCGTCGGGGCGCCTCGCCCCGTCTCCCGGAGCCTCATCTTCCATCGAGCCGCGTCGTGAAATCGGCCGATTTACGAGCCTTTTTACGTTGAGTACGCGCCATCCACCGGCATCGGTGCCCCGGCGACGGCATCGCCGCTCCTGTTCTCCTTTTTTTTACAGCGACAATAAAACGGCCTCCGGCCGGATTTCCGGCGAATTACTGCCGAAATTCAGCGGGACCGATCGTTGCGCGCCTACGTGGAACCTGTTCGGTAATCTGGTTGATCGTAAAGCGGCCGGGAAAAAGGAAATACACGCGACATACGGGATAGGACGGCTCGTAAACCGGACGAGTCCCGGCCGATGGATTCGCAAGCTGCCGATCTTCTTTTCGATCACCGCGCCGATTTCTGCGGCAGCTACAGCCACCCACGCGGATACAAGGTGTTTCGGGGCTAAACCGACGAACTTTAGACATGAATCTAGAACCGTGTGCTCGGAAATGGTTATGTCAAGAGGTACTTACTATTGAAGTTGCACGGACTTGGTATTTGCAGGATTTCGAGGATTTTTGCGGTTGTTACCGAAGATAACTACAATTATTACTGGTCCGCGGATCTTTGTGCAAAATAACTATTTGCGGAGACGTAATTAAATGAAAAAAAGAAGCAATTAAGTAAAGAGAAGAAGTAATTGAATAAAAAGAAGAAGTAATTAAATAAAGCGAAGAAGTAATTGAATACGAAGAAGAAGTCGTTAAATAAAAAGGAGTAATTAAATAAAATTAAATTGTTCCTTTTAATCATTTTGATGAGTCGAAAATAGTTTAACAATATTATAAAACTGTTTTTACATTTTCGCAATATTATTGTATCGGCTACTCATTCCTGCCATAAATACATAAAATCCAGAGTCTAATTATTATCTAATTATTATTGTCGTTCGAAATGATCGCACGAAGCGTGGAGACAAGCATTGCACCTGTAAATGATAGGAAAAGTGGTCGATTGACATTGGTACGTCTGTCATATTTCGTTACACGCTTACACTGTTCTCGATTTGAATGTTTGAATGTTATTGACAGGTTGCTCGTGCACGTTTTGCTTCGCTGCAGCGCGTGTCTACGAAGCTTGAGGTAGTCATTCCGAACAACATATATAATAATTACAGTTATCTTTTGTAATAAATACAACCATTTTCTTCGACAATACACGTGACAAAACAGAATCTATTTCGATAGCATACATTACTAAATCCTAGAACTTTGGCAGTAAATATCTCTTGTAGGAAGCATTTACGAGCATACTCGCAGGGAAATGCTTTTCTTCCTTTTACGAAAAGCGAAAACGTTGAACATAAAAATGTTGCGCGAAATTTAAGAAGCGGTCGTTCGACGGTCCGGTGAGTTCTGCGTGTTAACACTGGGTTTACGAAGCACCGGAAGCAACAATTTTATATTATTTCATACAAGTAACGATATTATATTTATTCGGATACTTAGCGATTTTTATCGTAATATTTTTTCCAAGTGACAAATTTATTAAACAGATTCCTCGCCAATGTTTCTTCACCCGCCATGTTGCCGAGTCCGGTGAACCTAGTGTTAATGGAATTCGATTCCGCGAAATGTAAGAACGATCAAACTGTAATATGTAACTTGACCTTCGAATCTCGATTTCACTTAACAAAACGCTCTAATTTTTGGTTAGAGTCACGTTTTTACTTGCTTATTAATCATTAGAAAAGCTAGAAAAGATACCAATAAAAGTGCTTCATTACGTCACGCTTGAACGAGGGAGCGAAGGTCGCAAAATAGTCGAAACCCCGGCGAGAAGAACTTGCGTTCCGACATACACGAGTTATACCAACTCGGTGAACTTTCGGGGGTCGGTGAGACGGCGAGTGGAAGTGTCAAGAAATAAGGAAAATTCCGGGGAAAGTTGTCGACGAGCGGGCCGAGGCTCCGGGGCCCGAGCAGATCGGTGAAAAACCTCGATTATCGAGAGCGTCGCGGCAAGATGGCCGGCCAGGAGGAACGAGGGTAAGACGACGTCTCGTCGCGTATCCAATTACGTTGACCATCCTGCAGGATCGTCGAAATTACGCATCGTCCGCCCGGCGAGAGCTGGTCCAGGACTTTTTTCGTGCGCGCTTCGTTTCCCGTCCGTTGCGAAGCCTCGATCCGCGAGCTACGAGGAAGAAAATGAAAAGTCGGAACGAACAGGATGCCGGGTGGAGAGCGCGCGCGCGGAGGTTTACGGAATTTATTGCGATCCCGGAGGAGGAATATCGCTCGCCGAGCTACACGAGCTACGAAAAACAATGGACGGGAGAGAACGATGCAGCGAGAGGGCTTGAGGGTTAAAAAACAACGGAAGGATCACAAGGGACGAGGCTGGCGAAGACGCGATCGAGCTAATTAATACTATCTCCTGGAAGACCGTCTCTCGCGACGAGTCGGCGAGGGAGCGTGAGAGAAAGTAAGAGAAAGAGAGTAAGAGCGGGGATGGTAAAGAAGACACCGGGAAAGGGGGAAAATTTATTGTGGCGCGCGATTAAATCCTGCGAGAACGGCCGAAGAATAAACTCTCCTCGAAGAGAAAGCGGGATAAGAGGGGGCGCCGGTATGATTAAACTAATGAAGACGGTAAATGAGAGATACAAGGAGCATGGAAAACTGCCGGCAGTTCCTCGAGGACCTAGCCAGCATCCTCGGCGTGGCTTCGAGAAATTTCGAGATCCGGGGTCCTCCGCGTTGTCCCGCGAACCAGGCGAGCACAAGACCAACCAGCCCAAGGATAAACTGAGCTCCCGCGAGGAGGAGCACAGCGCTGCGCCGCGCGCCTAGCATTTCGGATTAAGATAATTCCACGGCATCCGGTCCGCCGTATCTCCCTCGACCGGAAAAGAATGAAGACGCTCTCGAAAGCTAATGGAGAGAAATTATGCTTGCTCCGTCTAGAAATCGCGAACGTATAGCGGCCGAAATGAACCCGCTATTCGGGTCGCACGTTATGAACGTTCGACGCTGAACGTCTGTTAGAACGCTCCAGCGCCGGTTCGACGAGACTCCCAAATGAATTCTAGTTAAAAGTTCTTCTTCGTCCGCGACTGGCCCGACGTTCCGCACTTGTTAGAGAAACACCGAGAATTGCCAGTTTGTCTCTTCTTTAGTTCGCCCGAGTTTCGAGAGCGGCGTCTACGAATTAGGCTCGCTGTACGCGCGCGTCGTGCCAACCTGCAGCGTCTCTGCGAAACGAGGCTGTGACGCTCGAAAAAGTCCTAATTTCGTTCGTTTTCTGTTACGTAAATAGTTTTGACCTTTTTATGCTTCTGTTGGATGTGCTGTAAAGATGGAGGAGTGAAGGAAAAGAAAAGGAGAGTTTCGTTCTTGATTCGCTCGACACCTAAGGTTTTCCGGATATCGGAAGGACGGTTGGTTGGGACGGTACAGGGTGTCCCAAAAGTCACTCGCAATCGGGAAATAAAAGATTCCTCATTGGTCGCTGTGTTTTTGTTAATAACTCGTAAACAAAGCCGCGGATTGCATTTGCGCCAAGGAAAAAGTTACTTCAAGTGATCTCAGGAATTACTCATTTCCCGAGTGCAAGTGACTTTTTAGACACCTTATGTATACAAATCGGTGACGAATCAGGTATTTTCTTTTTCAACAAAGTATCTTCCAGTTAACGATTATTTTTAAGTTCTCGGAAGAACATTGTTCATATATTTAGTGTTTTATCCACCTGAATCATGTTCAATTTCTTCCACAATGTTAAATTTTGCACCGAATATCGTCTTCACGTAGTCTCAATTTAATCGTATACTCAACGTGTATCACGCAGTTGCGTGCGATGCTAATAATTAGACGCGGCGGATCATTATGCGAAATCGTTACTTTCAATTATTTCGACAAGTTGAAAACAGTGTAAAAATATTGTTAAATCCTTCAGATGTCTTCAAAATTTCATATTTCAACAATACATTTTTGCCATATGCGCATAAAATCCGCAGTCCACTAATAATCCTGCAGAGGGTTGCATAGCACTATAAAAAAGGAGAAAAAAGGAGAAAAAAAATACTTACAGAAGTATCTTCGCGTTCTCGCGTGACCAGCGAAGCCGCTGGATCCTCGAATGCTCGCGGAGCGACCGGTTTGCTTAGGCGACGTCGCAATCGAAATCGTAGCCTAAATCGCAATCGAGATCGCAGCGGAATTCGCAGCCGAATTCATCGCCGCGCGTAAAAGCGGAACGCTGTGCTCCGCGCGCGGTGCGCTGCTGTGCGGGATCACGGGACCATGAATATATACGTTTTTTACGAGATTATTTTTATTTATTACACCGGACACACCTGCTGCGCGGAAGCTGGCCGTGCCCAGGCTGATGGCCAGCTCGGTTTATCGGCTGGCCGGGGAATTTATTCGGCCCCGTTCATATTTGGCAGCGACGGGTTCAAGACCGACAGCGCGGGTTGCCGCCTGGGATTTCGAGGGCAGCTTCGGAGCACCCACGGTCACCAGTTCAGATCTCTGTCTCCTGCTCGAGCGGAAAATTAATCGATCAACGGCCGAGAAAACGACGCGCCGCGACGTCGAAGCTAAATTCGGCGGTTTCGGGCTTAGACCATACGTTGTACATATGCAGGGTGATCTACGCAATTGTTTCAGGGAATAACTCCGTTATTAATGCATTTACGAAAAAATATCACAGGACAAATATAAATGGTATGAAGAGCGTTATATTTGTAGGCCCTTAGATCTGCATATGCAATCGGTGCATATACAATTAACAATTGCATCATTTCTTTAAATTGAAATGTATATTTCTTTTATTCCATAAATCGATTTCTTTTTTTATTCTACGTAAAAAACTGTTAGGCTGTCATGGCAAAAAAATGATTAGTTCTCAAGATATTTCCAAAAAATGTCTTTACCGAAGAAGATGCACGAACGCATAAATATTATTAACCAAATTTGTCCTATATTATTAATAAGGTATATCGTAACTGCACTATGAAAAAAGTGTATTATAATTACACTATTAATACTTTGACCGCCACATGTGGGTAACAGAGTTATTTAAAATTGTATTTTCGAAAATAAAATTTCTTCGCCGGTCAATTATAATTTCTTCATTTTATTAAGATTCGCAAGCCGTAAGAATGTTGGAAAAGTAATAATGTATGTCAAATAAATTTGCTGTGCAATTTTCATATATTTCACCGAATAAAATATTTTAATTTTATGAAACATTCGACGTGTTTGCCGCGGTCGTTAAAGTGTTAAAAATGAATAGTTCCACCGTGTATATATGGCCCCTGACGTTCCGAGCCGGCGAGTCTCGAATCTGTTAAAGCGCAGTTAGCTGTCCTCGGAGTCTTAAACATTTTTCAATCGGAGCCGCTTGCCGACCGACTCCGAAACTTTTCCGAGTTTCCGCGCGGCCGAATTATACCGAAGCCGGCAACTCGGCGAGTTCGGAGATAAAGGAAAAACGGAATCGACTGTCGTCTTAGTTCCGATCGCACCCGCGCTTCCTCGACTGCCACCGGCCACTTACCAAATTGAAGTGGACACGAACAGACCGGAAACGAAGTGCATCGACCGTCCACCGAAAGAGAACTGGTTGCAGTTCAACGATTTCCTTCGCCCGCCGCGGGACGAGGAACGCGTCGACGTACGAACGCGGAGATACTGCTCCGCCAGCTTTTTAAAGCGTTGTTGTTGTTCCGTCACGATGCGATACACACTGTGCGGTGTGACAGACACAAAACTGATAAACTCAACGTATTTAAATCAGAAGCTATTCATAAATGTACATAGAGCTTAATATTATTAATTGTTTTTCCTAATTTTACCAATAAATTGCCAAGAATTATACCAGAAATTTATTCCAAGTTTCCGTGCATTTCATGAAATCGCCAGAATTGTTATCCCATAAATTTCTCGTTTACAATATGTGTTCAGTGTTATAGCATCTTCGCGAAGATACTAAATAGCTTTTCTACAACGTTTATTAATTTATACTGATTTTTTGTGTTTCTTTGTCTATCAACCTTGATGGGACTTTAAAAAGAAACACAGAAAAACACCGCTCTGATGTTTTGTATGCTACTTCGAGGAACCTTAAACTTTTCTTTTAGCATCGATTTTCGATGCCCAAATTGATCTGAAACGAAGAAAATAATCAAAATCTGAAACACCCACGCATTCCGAATAATAATATAATAATATAATGATTCGATGCAAATATTCTTGTATCCTAACCCTTTGCACTCGAAGCTATTTTAACTGTAAATATAAAATAATTTTTCTAACTTATAGTATTTTTATTTTACATGACAAAATGCATTTTACGCATATGAAATTGACTCTTGGGACCCACACAACAGTTACACTCTTAACAATTTTTTAAAATCTAAACTTTGTTAATATCAAAATTATCTCAAAACGTGACGTAACAAATTTTAGTGGTGCCTCAGAATCGCCACTCGAGTGCAAAGGGTTAAAATATAAAAAAGCAAGAGAACGTAGATTTCAATATTTTAATGCTTTGTACGTTCTTTTGAATCCTAATTCTAACCTAATAATGTCTCATAGAAACAAGCATGTACGTACAAAATTTTGTTACACATAAGTTGATCGGCTCTTGATTTAAAAATAATCCAAAAACAGATATTGCGAAAAGATTATCAACCTTATATTATCAACCTAATACTATCTTATATATATCCTATATATTATATTTATTATAATATTATCCTAATATTATCCTATATATATCCTATGTATTATATATTATAATATTATCCTATATAATATCATCAACCTAATTTTAAATATCATTGTACTTTTCTTGCACTAATCTATGCATCCATGTGTCTCGTTTTAAAAAGTGTTAGTGTACTTGTAAACCGTAGAGACTATACACTGTGCGATGACCAGAAAATTGAACAATATTCAGGACGAGCTAATTCCACAGGGCTCTAAGTATCTAACAATANTTTCTAACTTATAGTATTTTTATTTTACATGACAAAATGCATTTTACGCATATGAAATTGACTCTTGGGACCCACACAACAGTTACACTCTTAACAATTTTTTAAAATCTAAACTTTGTTAATATCAAAATTATCTCAAAACGTGACGTAACAAATTTTAGTGGTGCCTCAGAATCGCCACTCGAGTGCAAAGGGTTAAAATATAAAAAAGCAAGAGAACGTAGATTTCAATATTTTAATGCTTTGTACGTTCTTTTGAATCCTAATTCTAACCTAATAATGTCTCATAGAAACAAGCATGTACGTACAAAATTTTGTTACACATAAGTTGATCGGCTCTTGATTTAAAAATAATCCAAAAACAGATATTGCGAAAAGATTATCAACCTTATATTATCAACCTAATACTATCTTATATATATCCTATATATTATATTTATTATAATATTATCCTAATATTATCCTATATATATCCTATGTATTATATATTATAATATTATCCTATATAATATCATCAACCTAATTTTAAATATCATTGTACTTTTCTTGCACTAATCTATGCATCCATGTGTCTCGTTTTAAAAAGTGTTAGTGTACTTGTAAACCGTAGAGACTATACACTGTGCGATGACCAGAAAATTGAACAATATTCAGGACGAGCTAATTCCACAGGGCTCTAAGTATCTAACAATAAGATACGTTGCATCCAAACAACAGTTGATCATAGCGCCAATTGACTTTGGTCGAAGCTTTCGTTGCACGGGTTCAAGCTGGCTCGAGCCGGTTCTAGCAGCTCGAAATTGGCTGAAGCCGGCTCGTGCTGCTTCACAACTCTAGCAGCTCGATCCCGTCGCAAAGAAACAACGCGCTGTTGTTCGTTACGGAACCAGAATACGTACTCGCGACAATTGTTTCGTTGCTTTGCATCGCGACCCTAGAAACGTTTTGTAGACAACGGCAAAGAACGTCGACGGTTCGCCGAGTTTCATTCAGCGTTTCATTTTGGATAACATAATGAACGGTAACTTCTAGTCGACAGCTGGCTCGCAAAAGTGTGCCCGTCGTTCAAAATTCGTTTCGGAGCAAACGAACGCAATTTTCCAGGCGAGAGGGTGCTCCTTTCGCGTGCCAACTTGGAACGCTCAATTACGATTTTCATTAAATTTCATTCGCCTCTTTCGCGTAGGTGCGCAAATAAACGAATGCCTGTCTGTGTATCGAACGAGAGCGCCGCGTTTCTCTTTGAGGAACAAGCGAATTAAACGCAATGTTGCTCCATTCACGTTTCACTTTGGAGTCGGTGATACGACGAGTTCGCGAAGAACCGCATAGAACGCGCCGCGAAGGAAAGAAATTTCGACATCGTCCCGTCGCGCGGAAAGTTTCGAGTAGAGCGGAGCGGTAGGATCGCGTTCGCCAACGAAAGGTCAAAAGGTCCCAGCTAATTAACTCGGTTTTCGCTTGCAGACCCGCCGATCGTGTCGCTGAACCTGGGATCCACGCTGAGCCCGGAGGACATCAAGGAGGGCGACGACGTTTACTTCGAGTGTCACATAAGGGCGAATCCGCCCTGGTCGAAGCTCACGTGGATACACGACGTAAGTGCCAGCCCGTCGAAATCTCGAACAGCGTATAGAGGGACCGAGAATAATCGCGGAACTAGAATCGCGAACACGGGGTCGCGAGCTCTCCTGTATCGTCGCCGTTTCTTAACAAAGTTTCGCCACGGTCCTCGAAGCGGAAGACCGTTTCATTCCGCGCGTCCTATCGCGCAACCTTATTAAACCGGAGCGCCGCTTCGCGTCGGGACGCTATACAAATTCCGCGCAGTTCCGCGACGCGGCGTCCCCCCCATAACACACGAGATTCGCGGAGAAGAATCCCCGTCCCGAACAAAAACCGTGCGCCGCAACCTGCCGCAACCTGCCGCAACTCTATTATTTACAAGCGAGTCGCGTTACGGGTAATCTGCGCCCTCCGACCCTTATTCAACGGCAAATTGAACTTCCCGTTCGCTTCCCCTCGGACCGGCAAGACCGCCCTTATCGCGAGCGCTGCGATTTTTAATAATTTACTCTCTATTGCTGTCGCGTTCTTGAACATCCGAATCTCTGCGAGGTCTGCTCGAAAAGAATCCTGCTTTGTCGCATGTCTTTTGTGACACAGCTTTGCATTCGAACGGTGACACCGAGTCATCGTTGAAATTCTTATATCGCGTTTAAACGTAATTTTTATATCGTCGAAGTTTCGATTTAAAAGATCATTAAAAGCGTAACGTGTTCGAAGACTCAATTTCATATGCATAAAATGCACTTTGTCGCGTAGAATGGAAATACTATAAGTCAGAGAAATTATTTTAGATTTACAGTGAAAATAGCTTCCAGTGAAAAGGGTTAATCGTCCTCGATAGTAATCGTTAGACTGCGGATTTTATGCATTTACCCAAAAAATGAGAAGATCGGTTACAGTACGGTGGAAATAATTGAAGAATTTCAAAATACTGTTGCGTTATTTTCAACACAATACCGTGATTAAAGTATGAAAGAAATTTCTGTGCAGCTTCTGTGTTCTGCAATTAATGCGGGTAATTTTTCTTTTGCATAAAAATCCGCAGTCCAGTAATTATGTTCTTTTCGATACACTCTCGTTGGGATACCACAGCCTTTTTCCAGCGAAATTCCCACACACGGAAGCACTCTTGATAATTCATTCCTCTCCATGGTGACTTAGGATTAATCAGATTGAGAAATAGAGCGGCGGGCGAATATATCATTGCAAACATCGTAACTTTTTTAAAGCTGGAGTAAATGAGTTTATTTTTGGCGGATAGAGAGACTAATATAACCTAGACAATGACCAAACTACTTTTTATTAACCCATTAACTGTCAAATTTTCTTTTCTTGAATTTTTGACGGACAAGGTTATGTATATGCACGAAAAGTTGTGTAACAATATAATTACATTCAAGTTATGTTTTGTTGTTAAAATATTCTACATACAGTGAGTTTAGAAAGTATTCGTACGCCATTTATAACGTAATAACTTTATTATAATTGGTTATAATAATAAATAATAAAAATTGGTTATAAACTGTCTAAATTTTTGGGGAGATGTTAGAGAGGGATGTTTACTAGGCAAGGGCTAAAAAATTATTTTCAAAAATTGCAATGATAAAAGAATTAAAAAATGAGGTATTTCCAACTTTTTTATCTGAGCCTAGAACAAAAATTTTAAAAATGCATTTTGTAGATCAACATCGGCTACGCATAGTCAAGCTACAGCCACTGATAGATGCAAAAATTACTTGCTTTCGGTTGAAATTCGTGAAAAACTGCGTTTTCCGCGATCTTTAATTAATTACAACTCATGTTAAGGTTAACCAATTTCGCTGAAATTTTCAAAATGCATATAAGTTACCGAGATGTAGAAAATGCATTTTTTAAATGGTTGGAGCGAGAGCGAACACACGAACTGCAAAACTCGGCGAACGCAAGAGCGAGACAGGAGATACCACCAACGTAATCTCGCGTATAACTGCACGCGGGGCACTCGGAACAATAGATCAAATATCACTATTGTCGGTCCCAACGAAGTATCGTCGATGGCGTAATTAACTACGAACTATCGATCGACCGAGCAGGACCCGCGAAAGACTGACCGCGTGCGAAACTAGTACGAGCGAGAAATCGAGCCAAGATTCGCGCTTGGGCGCGTTGAACGTTGAATCGAAAAGTAAACTGAACTCGACTCGCGTTCCGGTATTCCAAAGCAGGTTACGCGACTGACAGGCTCTCGTGCGTCAAACTTACCGGAACGCCCGTAGTGTAAGTCGAGCGCAGAGACCGAATCTCGAGTAATTTCTCGATCTTGGGGGCCGCGATAACACGGAAACTCCCTTCAAAAGAAATGTACTCGCGCGAACCAAAAGAGACCGTTATGTGAGCCGTTTATTTTGAAAGTGGCATAAGTCGCTTTTTTTCTTTTTTTTTTTAAATGAAAAGATACCGTTCAACTGTAATTAGTGTTGCCATTAACTCGATTTTTTTTTAAACGGCTCATGTAGTTCCAGCGAGACGACGCCGTCTAGCGATGGAGAACTACGTCGGTTAGGAAACCCGGTATTCGTTTGTTCTGTACCGTTTGAATTTATGTCTACTCATTTTTGCTATAAATGCACAAAATCCGCGGACTAGTTGATTATCATCGTTATTATTGTTATTATTGTTATTATACACACTCGTACTAGTGTACTCGCTATTGCTACACTTTCCATATCGGAAGGCCCCCTCTATTTATACAATGAATACATTAGAATTAAATTAGAATTAAATTAAATTGAAATTGAAATTGAAATTGAAATTGAAATTGAAATTGAAATTGAAATTGAAATTGAAATTGAAATTGAAATTGAAATTGAAATTGAAATTGAAATTGAAATTGAAATTGAAATTGAAATTGAAATTGAAATTGAAATTGAAATTGAAATTGAAATTGAAATTGAAATTGAAATTGAAATTGAAATTGAAATTGAAATTGAAATTGAAATTGAAATTGAAATTGAAATTGAAATTGAAATTGAAATTGAAATTGAAATTGAAATTGAAATTGAAATTGAAATTGAAATTGAAATTGAAATTGAAATTGAAATTGAAATTGAAATTGAAATTGAAATTGAAATTGAAATTGAAATTGAAATTGAAATTGAAATTGAAATTGAAATTGAAATTGAAATTGAAATTGAAATTGAAATTGAAATTGAAATTGAAATTGAAATTGAAATTGAAATTGAAATTGAAATTGAAATTGAAATTGAAATTGAAATTGAAATTGAAATTGAAATTGAAATTGAAATTGAAATTGAAATTGAAATTGAAATTGAAATTGAAATTGAAATTGAAATTGAAATTGAAATTGAAATTGAAATTGAAATTGAAATTGAAATTGAAATTGAAATTGAAATTGAAATTGAAATTGAAATTGAAATTGAAATTGAAATTGAAATTGAAATTGAAATTGAAATTGAAATTGAAATTGAAATTGAAATTGAAATTGAAATTGAAATTGAAATTGAATATTTTATTAAATAAATCTTTGGAACTCGCAAACTGCACAAAATCAGGACCTAAATAAAATATCAGAAGTCGGTCATTCCGCGTTGCAACAATGAAGTCAATGTTAAGATCTGCATCCGTTGAATGGGGAAGAGCGTCGCGAGTTGACCGAAAAGCCAAGCCCCGGCATTCCGCAGGAACGAAGAAGGGCCCGGAACGGCTGCTGCCGCGGAATGAAGTCGGATCATATTTTTAAGATGCAATTTCGACGGGAATCTCTTACGATGTAACAGCTGCCGCCCAGGCCACCGTTAACTCTCGCTCTCCTCGGCATTTCCCGTGAGCTACGACGCGTATCCGCCGAAAGATCTTCCAACTAAAACGTAAAGAACGGGCCGGGCGGAGAGAGAACGAATGAGATTTGGGGATCAAAAATCGGTATACAGAAAATTCTGCCGGGTCTGAGAGAGATTAAAGTTCGAAAGTCTTCCGATGTGAAATGGAATAAAACGGAGCGAAATGTAATAAAATGGCATGAAAAATGAAATTAACTGGCATAAAATGAGATTGAATGGAATGAAACGGAAAAATGATATGGAACGAAACGGAATTAAATGGAAAAACTTTCTGTAGTTACAATGATTTTTAAGTAGCCAGCAAAGTCTACTCTGGGATGGGAAGACCTCGAAGAGCCCAGATATCCCGATGCCACGGCGATTCGAAAATCACTGGCCGGAGCAAATGAACAACTTATTCCTGCGAGAGCTTTCGTCCGGAACATGATCGCGGCAGTCTGTCGCGGAAAAGATGACGGAACGCGGACCGACCATAAAGCCGAACCTCGCAGTATTGCCTCTCGATCGTGTCCACGCTCGAGAATCCCCAAAGGCGATCCGCGAGGTCTCGTTCGACGTCGTTCCAAGAATCGAGACTCGGCTTTACGATGTCGCTGTAGATCGACGCGTAACGGCGTGTCGGGACAGCTCGAATAGGTCTCGACACCGGCGCATCGTGCTCCGGCCAGGTCTGGGACGAGTATCGGGGCTGCAGGACCCTGCAAAAGAGGCAGGGGCGGTCATGCACGGGCCCGCGGATTTGTACAGCAGAAAGCGATCAAAGTACTCTGTGAAGTACCCGGTGTCTTTGTGCCGGCGGAACGCGCGGAATTGCATTTATCAGAGAGAACGAAGAGTCCGTGGATTTCGTCTCGTTAAACGCTGGTTCGCGAGACGGCAATTGTTCGATAAGTAATATGATTCTCGTGATTCTCCTTTGCCGCCGGTTTTACCGCCGATTGTCGACCGACGGAAATACAGTAATTTCTCCCTAATTCGCACTCAGATTGCGCGCAAAAATGGACAATTTATAAAGAGGAGATACGATTATTCGAGTCTTGCGGCTCGTTTTTGGAGTTACCGATTGTCAACAACCATAAGAACGAATCTCGGGACTTCAATAATCGTATCCGCTTTTCACAGATCGTCCATTTTTGTTTGGGGATCAAAAATACAGTAATTTCTTCCTAATTCGCGCTCAGATTGCGCGC